GCACCCACGAGGGCACCGGGCCATCTTCGTCGTGGAGTATCGAGATATTCGATATTTGTAATATTATATCGTAATCGAGAGCGATGAGATTGCTTTCTTATTATCTACGCGGTTTTTATCGCGAGTAGATTAATTATTCTTACTTTTTTATTTTTAACACAATTAATATTGTCATGGAATTCATTATGTTTTTTTTTTGTTATATATTAGATTACTTACATTGGAAATCGAGGTAGAGCTTTTGATTTAATTTTAAATTTAATTAGCAGTGAAATTAGACTTCGATAGATGGATGATAGTTTGATGAGGAACAGTGAGAAAAGAGAGTATACTCCTACATGTGTGTCTTGTATACGTTTCTTTTGTTAAACACGGTTCACATTCCTCGCTATAATATTCCACACGATTAGAGGTTCCACAGTCTGACTCCACAAGGCGTCCCTGAAAAATTATGCAACTTGCCATGCCGTTCAAAACATCCTTACACAATCTCTTTTACTGTATATTGACTAATCTGTGTAGTAAAAATATGATTGCTCAATTATTTTACGGAATTTCTCACTATCTTTACGAAAATAAAAGAGCTGTGGTAATGAGACGATATTATAAATTAATATTTATAATAAAAGAAATTGTGTGTACATGTGTGTATGAATGTGTGCGAACGACATGGCACAATTGTATATGTTTATATGTATGATATTTAAAACTGTTAGATATTCTTTTAAAAATGTCATTTAATTTCGAATTCATTTTTCATTAGGGAAAATATCAAGGAAGATTATTTTATTACTGTTTTTAATTATAAAAAATTCGGAAGAAAATTTTATCTGAAAATTGACTGAAGAATAGTTTGAATATAGTTTTGTCTATGAAAAATCCTTTAATTGAGAGTTTGTGCTTTAATCTATTTTAACTTAAACATTTTTGTCTCGATATTTTTACTAAGGAATTTCGATATAAGGACTACTCAATTTTTACTAAGGAAATTTTACTTCCAAATTTTTACGAATTTATATCATTGGAAAGATATCTAATGGTTTTGGGGACATAATCTGTGTATATACGTATTTTTTATTCACAAATTTTATATATCTTATTTTAGGTAATCCTAATCAAATATTTTAAAACAACCCATTCTCGAATTTATTTCATTATTTCTCATTTATTCGTTTTATTTATCTGACTTTGACTAAAATAACGATATATATATATATATCTGTTGATATATATCGGGTTTTTTATAAATTCAAAAGACTGTTCACTATATCTTTGTCGATAAGATATATAGGTAGAAGAATGGAATGGCATATACCAAAAGGACGTCCCTTTTTAACTTTAAATCGGTTCTCAATTGCAATGGGCAGCTTTTATATTTAGCATCCATTCGTAATGTTATCATAAGAGATTGCAAACATAGTTGCGATCAATTGTTCATCGCGATGAAGATTTATTTATTTTTTTCATCCTGCCACCGCTTTCTTTAAAAGGCCTAATGGGATTTTAACGATCCTCCGTTATACACCTAGGCGAGTCACTACGAAGTGGAATTTCTTGCGATCGCGCGATATTCTTCCCCTTCGAACAACATATATGTTCTCCGAATTTGTGGAACGGGATGCTGACTACGTGTCTGTTGTATCGACAAATATTTTCATTTAATTCTTTATTAACTATACAGAATGAAAAATCCTTTACTAGAATTAAAATATTCATGTATTAACAAGTTTGGGCTGCTGATGTGTAATTTAAAAGGGAACCAAGAAAGGTAAATAATTACAGTTTTCTTATCTATTATATCGTTCAGGTTAAATTGACCTAATGCAAAACGATATAAAAATATAATTTTTTTTTTTTTTTTTTTATATACAGGGTGTCCGGTAACTAACGGACCAACGATTACAAGTGGATTCTTTGGTCAACTTGGGAACGATTTTTCCTCAGCAAAAATGTCATCATTTTTACAACTTTCCAATATTTGTCATTATGTATCTTTATAACTAAGCCTCAAATTAAAATTTTATTATATAGTAAACTCTACCTGAAATTAACTGAAGAATGTAATTATGTTAGACTTTTAACTCCAAAACGTTTAGTTTTCAAAAAACCCATTATTGACTTCTCAACATTTTTGCTAAGGAAAAATCGTCTCCAAATTGGCCAGAGAATCCGCCCTTAATCATTGGTCCGTTAGTTACCGGACACCCTGTATACATATATAGCAATCCAAATTTGTTATTAGAAACACCTCAATTCTAGTAAAGGATTTTTCATTCTGTATAGCCAATAAATAGTTAAATAAAAATAATATTTATCGATCAACAGACACAGTCAGCATCCCCTTAATTAAGTGACGACGCGACGGGTTTTATCGATCGGACACTTAAGATTTCAGCGACTGGATTAAAGCATCATCGATCCCCCGTTTCTATTTTCCACCCGCAGGGAGCCATCGGTCAAACGCTAAAATTACATTCTTCATAACGCCTTTCCTTCGCGAGATTTTTCCCGTATAGATTAAATAAGGGTCTAATTAACGAGCGAATCGAACTATCATCGCAATTCTCGCGAGATCGATTAATTAGACTTTATATATAAAAAAACATCCGAGAAACGAATTTAATGATTGATCGATAAACCGTAACGCGATATGATTCGTTGGCGCATTCAAACAATTTATTCGGGATTGTTATATGCATACGAAATAAAGAGAAAAATATTCCATAAATGTGGTACTATCGTGATTTATATATCTCGAGATTTATTTAATAATGTTTTACTGCGGAGAGATGCTCAATTAAAGAGTATATTAGACGAGAGCTAAGTATATATAGATGCCATTAGATTTCGGAAATTAGCGATATTTTTGTTAATTAAGGAGAAAGGAGGGATGAATAAGAGCTATAATAAGTGATAGAAACGATGCACAGAAACATTTCTGTTTGCTTTCCTGAAGAAGAAATAGATTTTACATACGTGCACTTTTTACTCCTTTCGCGCTTCCTTTTTATTCAATTATATAATATAATTTTACATCGACATTGCGCGGAGAAAAAGCACCGTTTATGTGGATAAATGGAAAAATTATCTCGAGATACGTATACGAAGAATATATCCGAAGGACAAAAGAACAATATACTGTCTTTAAAAGCAGGACAATTTTTAAATTTTTTAAGCGGGAAAATTTGAAATAAAACTTAATTAGTCCGTATTCTCATTTATTATTAATCAAATGAAACTATTGCTATGCGTTCGATTTTCAATTTGGCGGAGTGATCCAATAAAACTGCATTCTACACCAATTTGCAAAGCAGCACAGCATTGACCCCGTATGCAATTGTTACGAATAAGAGGCGTTAAAATTGTAGTCGCTGCGCGTTCGTAGCTCTTCGATAAAAATAGTCGCGAATCGCAATGTCAGAAAGGAAGCGCAACATCCCGATCTTTGTTGGTTCATTGTCAGAAGACGTTAATATACACGTATATTAAATAATGTATTATTTATTCCTAGACTATTAAATCTTGTATAGAAGAAGTAAGCTCTCTCCCTCTCTTTTTTCTATATCACTTTCTCTCAACACGTGCGTTCATATTCAACAAATTTTAGTGCTGGCAAAATTTCAGAAATGTTTTAAAGAATGAGATTTAGAAAAAGATATACAATTTTCTATTTATGCAACAAATTTACTATTTGTAGAAGTAATTGTAATGAGAGAGAGAGAGTTATATATGGCGAGAATACTTAACATATGTATATAATGAAGATGTTTCAATTAAATCAAATTATATCAAATATAAAAAATTTGTCAATCGATCAACATATGCTATATAATAATATAATATATATTCACATAACAAAAAATGTTCTCATTACATTTCTAGAGACTAATTTAATAACAGAAGCTTATCGTTCGTCCAACTTCAAAATACTTTAAGAATCGTAGGATTTGACAGACAAAATCAATGATTCATCTCGTCGAGTAGTTATATATATAGGAAATAATTTCTGAGGAAGAATTCGTTTCGTAAATTTACTTTTGAAGAGAAAATCCGTCGTTAAAACGAAACGTTCTGCCGCGGAAGGCGAGAGAGATGAGTGTCCGCAAAAATGCAGGCTGCGTCACTTATTGCAGTCTCTGAAAACCGAACGGGCGCGATGGCTTTGCGCGCGCGAACGTGACCCAAATTCAACCCGTATCTCTAAAATCGCGCCGCCCCCGGCGCGCCATTATACGTCGGGACGCGCAAATGCGTGTGCGTAATTTTACGAATTAATTTCGACGACGAATTGCATTTTCTGCACGATCACGCGCGCGTGAAAGGCGCACCGCCGTATATGCACATCCGGCTATAAATAGGCACGCTAAGATAGCCACGCCTTAATCACTGCTACACCGCCGGTACGGATAGCGGTGTTAACGTTCCTCTGACATTATTATTGCGAGATAGACGCCGGTTGTTTTGCACAATCCTCGTATTCATACCGCGTGTTCCGTTTATCGTGCTGCAATTAGCTGTTATCGTCATGCTAATTTTATAACGGAGCGATCTGAAGGAAAAGTCCAAGAAATTGGAAGGGCGTATATTTAAGTTTTCGATTTTAATGAACGAAAGCATGTCTATATACTTGTCGTAAAAGAAATGAATATACGAATTTGTTTTTCTTTTTTTAGTTAGATTTTTTTATGCGATATTCTATGTCATGAAAATTGTAAATTGTTGAAATAGAAGATATAGATAAATAAAAGAAGATATAGATAATAGAAGATATAGATAAAAAGCATGTCTATATACTTGTCGTAAAAGAAATGAATATACGATAAATACGATGAATATAAGATAAATAAAAGAAGATATAGATAATAGAAGATATAGATAAAAAGCATGTCTATACTTGTCGTAAAAGAAATGAATATACGAATTTGTTTTTCTTTTTTTAGTTAGATTTTTTTTATGCAATATTCTATGTCATGAAAATTGTAAATTGTTGAAATAGAAGATATAGATAAATTTTGTGATACACATTTGAGGGTCTTAAAATAAACATTTACTTTGTGTGACGTTATCTTTCGAATTTATCTGTGGATCCCTATATATAACGTACATTTCTTTAGGTTATTCTGTAAATTTCCTATGACGTTTCGTGAAGCGATGAGATTGCCTTATCAATTAAAATTGTCACATTCGAGAGACTTCAAATATTAAATATATAATGTAATGTTATCAATTACATATCAAATGTATAGTCAATCATGGAGATCGACTAATGAAACGATGAGATAAAGCAAAGATAATTTTTATGGATGTTGGAGATATTGACTAATATTAAAATGTAGCACTGTATGCAAATTTTGTAATTAATATCTTTATAAAATGAGATTTATAATTGAATATGTACGTGAGATAATTCGAAAGCGAGTGATATATATGTATAACGGAGATCAAACCTGATGAGAACTAATGATTGTCATGTTTAAATTTTTTCGTTCAAGACCTGAAGGACATAAATGAACTGTAGCTAACGATCCACTATATACAAATTCGATTTTGAAGAATGAGTTTACTCTCGTGATAAAGAATTATATTTTCAATGAAAAATGCGACTATAGATGGCAGCACTTGAGTCGCGTCGGTAAATTAAATTGAACGTGTCGATAAATTATTCTCTAATGATTATACTTATGTAAATATAAATATAGTGTTTTAATTTATTATTGTAATTATATGTGACATATATTTAATGTCTACGTAAATTATTTCATATATCAACATTTTATAAAAAAATATTATTCAAATAACTTTAAATTTTTTAAAAATAAATACATAAATTTTATATTTATTTATTTTAATAAATTATCTCTATAACTATATTTTTTAAATTAAAATAAGTGTCATTTTTTCAAATGATTTAAATTTAAGATAATGTTTAATGAGTTTAATATATATCGCTGTAAACATGTAAAATTTTGTTTTATATTTTTTTAGGACAAACTTAGTGCGGGAAAACAAAAAGAAAGGATGCGAAATGCGCTAATAAGCACTCTGCTTCGACGATGCAACAACGTCGCTGTTCGATGTCCGCGAAATATCGCGGACACGCGTCGTCGCTGCTATTCAACGAAACCTGAATTAACATCGATCAGATATAAGGTACAACGTGGACCCTACAACATGATTTCGAGTGCGGATATTCGTTTTTTCGATTCATTGATGGGGCCTAATCGTATCATCACGGATCCAGATGAATGCGAGAGTTACAATATTGACTTTCCCAGCACGGTCAGAGGTAAACGCGCGCGATGAAAAGAATTTAATTTAAAATTATACAATATTTTGAGAAAAAAAATATATTTCTTATATTTGTATTTTTTATTAAATATACTTTTTATATGTTTTAAATAATAAGAGAAAGAAACTTGTACAAATAGAAAAATTGAAATTGCAAATTCACGAAGAAAGTATTAATTCTTTATGATCAAAATTGAAAGTGTATAAATTAGCGATATGTATTAATTAAAATAAATTTGAAATAAGTTTTTTGATTTTACTGAGATAATTAAAATTTTTTTCTATTTAGAAAATTCATACATGTGTATAATATACATATACATATGTGAATGTATATAAAATCTTGAGTCTTCTCTTATTATACATATAATCTTGTTTTTTCTACACTTAATTATTAATATATATAATTTTTAAAAGTTACTTAATATTTTAATACAAGGTGCCAGTCGATGTGTGCTAAAGCCAAAATCAACAGAAGAAGTGTCAGCTATATTAAAATATTGCAACGACAAAAGATTAGCGGTTGTTCCACAGAGCGGAAATACAGGCCTCGTGGGAGGAAGCAATCCGGTTTTCGATGAGATCGTGATTTCCATGACTTTGATGAATAAGATCTTGGAAACGAATGAATTGGCTGGTAAAACAATCTCCAAAAGTTCCGCTAAACAAACAAGATAAAAATCTCGATTATTATATATATTCTAATTAATTTGTTAATGTTATTCTTAGAATATAATTTAATTTTTTTATTAAAGAATAATGTGATTATTCAGATATTAGAAACATCAAATAACAATTGTAGCCAATTATAAAAGTCTAGTTACAGTTGACAATGCAAAATAATTTATAATTTGCCAGAAGATTCTGAAAATATATCCTTCTAACTTATCTTTTGATTATTTTTTTATTTTAATGTTTAATTTTTTGTTGACATACGTCGTTGGAAAAAAATTATACGTTTAAGAAAATAGCAAGAAAATAGCAAAAAAATTATATGTTTGAGAAAGTAGCAAATAATGTTGCGATGAGATATATTTCTTTCTTGTTACATAATTGAAAAAATAATGAAGATTGCATAATTATTCATTTCTTTATTGCTATTATTATATTTAAAAAAGCAAATACTTCCATTGCGGCAGGTGTTCTTACATGCGAAGCTGGCTGCATTTTACAGGATTTGGAGAATCACTTGGCTACAATTGGGATGATGATGCCTTTGGATTTGGGAGCTAAAGGCAGTTGCTTAATTGGAGGATGTGTATCAACTAATGCGGGAGGACTGCGATTACTACGTTATGGCAATCTGCATGGCAACATTTTGGGAGTCGAAGCAGTAAGTATACAAATACGAGTCACAGAAATTTTTATTATTCAGCGCTGAAAATTATTATTTATTATTTTATTTGTCACGTAAATCTTTTCACACATGTCAAAATTTTTATCTCTATTATTACATTAATTTTTTTCAGATTTTCTTTTCTATATGTATATCATTTTCTAATAAATTTTTCTTTTTCTTATTGCTAAAATTATTATTCAATTAAACTTTGAATTCTTGAAATTTAGTTGTAAAGTAGATCTATAATTTCAAATAATTATCTTTGCAGGTAAAAGCAAATGGTGATGTTGTAGATGCATTAAATACGCTAAAGAAGAATAATACAGGGTATCACCTAAAGCATCTCTTCATTGGTTCTGAAGGTACTTTGGGAATTGTGACAAAAGTAGCTATACAATGTCCACCTTTGCCAAAGGCTGTACAATTGGCATTTTTAGGTATTATAAATATAAATAATATTAATAAAAAAGTAAATAATATAAATGAGTAAATAATATTAAATAAAATATAAAACTAAGTTTCGTGATATCGCCAAATTTACTATATGAAACATTGCAATTTTTCTTATTATAGAAGTTTGTTAGTATATATATAATAAGATGTGATTTTTAATTGTAATTATGATTTTCGCAGGATTGAACAGCTTTGATAAAGTATTGAAAACATACCATCTGGCGAAGCGTGAGCTAGGTGAGATTCTGTCCTCTTGCGAAATGATGGATCGACTATCTATCGATGTCTCCATTAATAATTTGGGCATGAAAAATCCTTTGACAAGCCGTGAGAACGGTCACGACTTCTACATGCTTATCGAAACTTCCGGTAGTAATTTGGCCCATGATGAAGAGAAACTTTCTTCTTTCGTGGAGAAGGCAATGGCCAATGACATCATCGAAGATGGTACCTTGACCAATGAAATGGCGAAAATTAACGTAAGCAATCAAAGATTTAAACTTGAAAATTTTAAAAATTAAAAATTAAAAAGTATGTTATCATTATTGAAATTTTTACAATCAAATGTTCATACTTGGTTATTATTTAAATGTTATTTAAATGTTTGTGAATGCAAAAAATTATATTCAATAGAGAATTTTTTTTAACTTTGTTCAAATTACAATTATTTTTATACTCGAATGTTTTTCATATTGAAGATTTAATTTATAGACTCTATGGGCACTTCGGGAAAGAATCAGCGAAGGAGTTTTACGTGATGGTTACGTCTTCAAGTATGACATTTCCTTACCTTTCACATCGTTTTACAAAGTCGTTGAAGTTCTTCGAGAGCGAATATGCGATCCTCGTGTCATTAGGATCAGTGGTTACGGCCATTTAGGTATCTATATAAATATACATATAATGATATCTGAAATGTCAAAATTAAAATATATAATAATTCATATTAAATATATCATATTTAATAATAATTTTTTCTTTTTATGTCTTTAGGTGATGGAAATATTCACGTGCAGGTCTCCATACCAGAGTTTTATGCGGATGTGGCTGCGCAATTGGAACCGTTTATCTTCGAATTTGTGTCACAATGTCATGGCAGTATCAGCGCCGAACACGGTATAGGTTTCAAAAAGACTAAATATCTTCATATGAGCAAAACCCCGTCCGAGATCGCTATAATGTATGATTTGAAGAAACTGATGGATCCAAACGGCATTTTGAATCCTTATAAAATTTTAATGCCAGTTATGGCGGAATCCTAAAAATAATCTCCACGCAAAAATAATGTAAATATTCAATGTGCCATTTAAATAAAATAGGAAATGAAGTGAGTTATTTATATAATCATTTCCAGGAGATTATCTCCAGCTTGAAAGATTTATTTTTTTAATATTGAAATGTTTTTATATTGTGAAACTATTAATATTCCAGGAGATTATCTCCAGCTTGAAATATTTATTTTTTTTAATATTGAAGTGTTTTTATATTGTGAAACTATTAATATATGTTAGATATATGTATGTTCGATATTTTTATATATACGCTGACGTCACATGCGACGCTTAATAAAGATTTTTTGGCTAATTTCCATTTGTTAATAAAAGCAAATATAACATTTCGGTGACTAACTAAGTCTATCTTGAAATAGACAAGCAGCAGATATGAGAAATATCGAAACATGTTTTCACAAATGGAAAATATATATTTTTATATGATTTATTGAATAGACATGATAGTTTCTTGATAAAATAGTTTTATCTTTTAAATCAATCTTTTTTATTTTTTTATTATTAATATTTTCTCAGAATTAATTTAAATTCTTGAACGTAAAATTAAAGAAAATGTATTTATATGGTGTATTAATAAAATTTTCAAAATTCTGAAGAAACTTCAATTTTAGTTTACAATTAATTCTTTTAACGATCTCCTTAATAAAGATATATGTGTGTGTGTGTGTATTAGCATCTACTTTGTTAATGCTATGTTAAAGTATTATGTAAAAATAAAATATATTTTAGTACAGAAAATGTAATATTTTCTTCCAGAACCGAATATATAAAATTACACGTAGAATTCTTTCGCGAATGATATCAATCATCTATAAGCGAGCTTCGATTTGAGGATTGATTTTGCTAGAAATGACAAGATTGATGAATAACCGCGAAACAAATATTGGCGGACACTTTGTCGAGCATCGAGCTATGAGCGCATGCGCGTTCTACGCTCGAATAATCTCGAAAAGAGCGGCAAACCAAATATAAATCGGCGCGGCGGCTCCTGTTGCGCAGTTAGTCACAGTAATTGACGCTCGGAGAATCATCAACTTTTTACAGTGAATACTCTTATTGCGCAGTTTGACAAGTAATTTCACGTAGCACTAATCGAACATCGTTTTGAAAGACGTGACTTCTAGCAACAAGGTACGTATTCAGTCTTCGCCTTTTACAAATTCGTCGCAATTCTTAAGATAAATTAGATATTTTACTTTAATTATTTTATTTATTTACTATGCTCTCTCACTTAAATTTCTATTGCTTTTAGAATATCTACCATTTTTATTATGAATATATTATATATGGATTAAAATTATATATAAAGTTAAAAGTTTACCATAATTTATATAATTTTGAATAACGCTGATAAAAAGAAATTATTAATTATTAATTTATCTTTCAAACTAGAGATAGAGTAATATAGATATCTGGCTGTGTTTTTAAAGATATAAAGAGATATAATGTATAGTTATATTAGTATAGAAATAATATTATATATTGATATTATTTTGTATTATTGTGGATAAAGTTGAATCAGTCAAGATATAATTTACTCGAAATTTTGTTTTCTTGATTTCTAAAAACTCTCTTTGAAATTTTTCATTTGCCTAATTATGTAAATAATTCTTAATATTATTTACTATAGTTATGTTATATATATGCTTAGAATTTATATATATATATATAAATAATTAAAAAATATATTATTTTTTCTTTTCATATATCGTAGCTTCCTAATTAAAAATAATATTAATTTATCCCATATAGCGAGAATGACATGTGTGTTCATATGAACATTAATTTATAGTTTTAGAAAGCCATGGCCCTGGTATCGAGGGATATCTACCGCAATTGGTGGGAAGATATAGACCGCTATCATCGGGAGATAGAGTCGCACTTTCGGCACCTGAGCTTGACGAAGCACGATGATCTGTGGCCATCACCGTTTCTGTCGTTCCGCAATAGATTCCGATCGTGGCGCGAAATCTTCGACGATTTGGACCGCCAGGTGGGCGGCGGAGCGACGGTTGTGCGCGACGAGGACAAGTATCAGGTGACCGTGAACGTGCAGCAGTTCCGGCCGGAGGAGATCACTGTACGCACCGACGACAGAATCATCACCGTCGAGGGCAGGTATAGTAACGACAAAAGGGACTGGTACGGCTACGTGTCGCGCCAGTTCGTGCGCCGTTACGTACTGCCCAGTCGCTACGATATCTGTCGTGTGAAACCCAGTCTGTCGTCTGACGGTATCCTGACCATCACGGCTCCTAGACTGGAACTCCCGACGCCGGGCATGAAAATTATACCAATTATGCGAACTTTCAGACCAGCCATCAAGGCCGCTTAATGCGCTAATACACTCCTGGATAACGCAAAACTGCCTTGGACAGCACCAAAATCGAAATATATGTCCAAAATTGAGATATAAGATGTCTTTAAAATATCTGTTAAATATTTCATAAGATCATTTCATAAGATGTCTTAAAGACTTTTTAAAAGATGTCTTATGTCCCAATTTTGGACATGTTTCGATTTTGATGCTGTCTGGAGTGTTTCGACATTTCACTGTTTATTCGAATCATTTTTTATGTAACAATCGATACCTAAAAAAAGAAACAGAATCAATTATACATGACTAAATAAATTGGCGTTTATAATAATTATAAATGTTTGGATGATCTCCAGATTGTCTTTGCGACAAGTTTGCGTTATTCGGTTTCTCTACGAATGTTTATTATTAGATACGTACGATCAATATACTGCACGTGTCTAAACTGTAAACAGCTACTAATATATATTAATTTATGTACATCAGTATTGCACTATATGTATATCAGCAAGGACGAATCACGGTCGTTATATTCGATATTATAGGGTTTGATCCATAGTTTGATAATTGATGCGACTTGAAAAGATTTTAAATTTTTACATCCGCGCGAGATTTTTTTAAAAATACAAATTAGCGAGCATCGATAATTGCGACCATGAATAATTTTTTCACGCGATAATGCCTCTGGTATAAAATCAGCCATAATTGTAGAGAATTATATATAATCATTACTTGTAGCCATTGCCAATTATTTTGTTGACAAGCTCTTACAAACGCGGTACCGGTTGAACTATACGGATAGCAGCATTGTTACGAAATTGCATAACATGTTGCTAAATGTAACTTTATTCGTCAGCAGATTAATTTCGGCTCGTAACGTCAAGATTTGTTCTTAAAATGTACATATGTCAACTGCTACCGCGTCTATAAGGAGCTTGTCGCTCCTTATGTAATAATGCTGTAGGTACTTTGCATTATTGTTAGCTCGATGATTCCTAATTTAGAGTTCGTACTTATATGTTCAAAGATTGTTTACGTAACTATTCATTTTAGCAAGGAATGTGAATTGTATAGAATGTGTACATACAGAACTATCGATGAATCATACGAGATCAATTACTAGCCAAGAAATAAAGTATATATAAACGTAATATATTATATAATACATTATACATAATATATTATATATATTATATATATATATATTCGTTTATCAAATCAGTTGTGTTCAAGCGACGGTTATATGCATATTCCAATGTTAAATAGTGTTAATAAGATCATTTTACTTTTACATGTAATTTTCTTTCACATAATTTCATTCGCCTTTTATTAAATCTGTAATTACTATTTACTATTATTTAACTGTACTAGCCCACACGCTAACGATATTTTTGCAATAAAGATTTCTTCTTAATCTACTCTCGAATATTATTTTTTAACTACCTTATTTCTAAATATTTATTATTATTAATAATTATTATTTGCGTTATATAGTATAATTATAATATGTATTACTATAATAATAGTTTTTTAATGTACGTTTTTGTATACGTCGTAAAGTCTATTAGACTTATGTTTTTAGACGAATGTAATTTGCATAAGAAACTTATTTAGAATTTTTATAATATGATTTTTTTCTATAAAAATCCTCAAATTTTTATCAATTTAATACGTGTCAGACTATATAGGTACATAAAAGATTATAAATAACATTTTGTCTCGAATTATAGATTATCTAAAATGAAATTAAATATTTCGATCATATTATTTAATATCTGTAATTTTCTTACGATGGTCCCCGATCTTCTTCGCTATCGGAGAATGGCAGCTGATCGTCTTGATTTGACCGTGTTTGTTCTTCCAAAATCATTTCCTCCACGATTGCCATATTTTTCAGCAATCTGGCTTGTTCCTCTATCATTGGAATTTTCTCATCGATCAATTCCTCTACGTTCACCTTGTTCAATTCTTCTTGTATGCGTCTCTTCAATGGCCCCTCGATCGCATCCATAATCTGATATCTATATGAAAGTGAAGCAGAGTTAGAAGTATATATATAAAGAATATTCAAAGAGTAACGAAGAAGTTTAATACAATATAAATATATATATATATATATATATATATATAATATAATATAATATCTATATAAATCTATAAATATAAATATAAAAATATCTGTGGACATTCAAGAAAAAATTCGAGGAAATATATATTCAGTCTTTCGTTGCAATTATTATTAATATAAATTTACAGCCTAATTTTGTAAAAATAAAAAATTTGAGTATTATATTCTAATAATGTTAAAAAAATTTAAACAAAAAACATTTATAACATTCTCAAGTATTATTATTATAAATATATACCACGTGTCTCTTTGTCAGAAATACGTCAGACGCGCATCTCCTAATGCTAATTCTAATTCGATCGAGATTAGAAAATCGCCAAATACAGGTGTCGCCTTGAGATAATGTTGACGCGAGACGTATATTAATGGCCTCGGTCTATTATGATTTACCGTAATAGGTTCGGCAATATATTGATGCCCGCTTCTATGAGATAGTCGAGCGTTCCGGCACCGTGGATTCTTGTCTGGATGTTGCCCAGCTCGAGCTCCAGGTCTTCCAGAGTGGCGCGCTTTCGCGTGTCCAGCGACTGGCTCAACTTGACCTGGACTCGGAAATATTGTACGATGAAGGACACGGTGCCGGCGCGAGATAGGAAGCCGCCGATCAGGCTCACTTCCCAATGCGTCTTGCCCTTCAGCTCCCGGGTGCCGACATCCACAAGTGCATATACCTAAGCAAAAGTGTCGTATAAATCTTTTCGCTTTGAAAACAAAAAACAAATGCCCACGCACGCGCCAAATTTCAAAATTGCAAGCAAATGGTATATACTTTTACGTAACGTTATGCAACGATTGCGTTGTAATTATGATAATACGATTACGTATTAGTAGTGCGTCGTTTTTATCTCAAAAAGATTCTTAACAAAATTTGTTTAAATTCGATTACAATCTCATATTCATCTAATAATAAATGTCATTTTTTTGAACTTTTTTTCGCACTTATACAATATAGTATACATAGTTATTCCAGTGAAATTTTCGCATAGGAATTCTTTTGAAATTCAAGACATCTTCGAGACATCTCGATTAATTGTTACATATTTCTACTCACAATTCCATTCTCCAAGGTTATTGTTACATTGCCCATGCGATAGAAACTGGCCAGACCCGTGATCCAAGTGTGTGACGAGACGACACTAAATACACCGATGTTTTGATTATAATCTTTTAATTTGTATGGATCAAAGCCCATTACAGAAACCTGCTTACGAGCTTCCGCTACTGCCATGTCGAAGGGTGAAATCGAATTAGGGAAATACTGCGGTAATTGTGATATCTGCTTATTCACTTCGCCCCTGAAACGTATCAACTTTATTGAAAAATGCCCCGAATAAGAGTAAATAAGTCGAAAAATTATATATTACCTAAATATAATAAGAGAAACAGAGAAAGAAATGTTTGTTTTATAAAAATTGTGAAATTTATAATAAATATATATATATATATATATATATATATATATATATATATATATATACTATACATAAGATTTAATATTTGTTTAAGAAATTGTTAAATATCAAAAAGTTCCAATAATAAATAAATAAAAAATGTATATCAAATCTATATATATATATAATTAATGTTTTTTTATATTAATATTCAATTATTGTTTTTATAGTATATTGTTATATTTTATTATAATTTTCTTCCCTAATAAAAAATCGATAAAAAACAATAGAAAACAATTGCACTGTATTTAATCGTAGTTTCATAACTACGATTAAAAACAATTGATTACTATAAATTTTCAATCATTTTTTTTCGATAAATTCCAATAAAACAATAAAAAGCAATCTATTACTATAAGAATTTTATCATATTCTAACGACTGAATCCGACTGATAACAGAAAATGAAAGAAAACGATAAGAAACAATAACATTTCTTTCGGAATATAAAAAGTAAAACAATAGGTTACGATAAAATTTTTTACAAATCCTATTGGTTCCTAATGTTTTTTACCGATATTTTTTATCCTATTTATTTTTTATTTAAGAAGGGTTCTCCTTCTTTTTGTTATTTCATTTATTACCTTTCGGCATACAAAGGGAATATATTTTTCCTGGAATTTAAGGATATCATACCTAACGTTCGTGTTAACTTCTTTTAATATAAATGGCTTGATGCTGTCAAAGATGAAGGAGCCGACAGAATTGATGACACCTTGAAAGACCGACCCCAGAAATCCTAGATTCTTGAAGTCCAAGTCGATCTTTTCAAAGGTCAGATCCATGTCAATGTCTTGGGCCTGTAATTTACCATCTGTGGCCACTTCTAGTCTGGCGATGCCCTGGACGTTTACGCCGTTGAGCTTCACAGTAAAATTGCCAGCCGATCTTGAGAGCCACGATGCTAATGTGTACAATCCGCGAATGTCAAGACTATCGATCCTCACTGAGACGGACACCTCAAAAATACATTCGTTTTTCATATTCATCACAGAAATTAAAAATTAATTCAAAATTAAAAAATTCCCGCAAACATAAAAGTATGAATAATATATATGTATATAAATATAATATTAATAACGAGATATTTATAAGCATACACTGTACAAAAATATACATGTATAAGATATTCCAAAATTATATTAGCTATATCTCTTTAACAGTTTCTTTAGTTTATTGACATAATTTCTAATTAAAATTACGCACGTGTATAATGTAAAAAAAATAAATCAATCAAAATTTTACAATTTGAAAAGAAGTATATAGAGAATAAACATGAGAGGAAATAGTTTTATTATTAGATATTATAGATAAATAGATACTTTTCTTTGAAAGTATATATGAATTATATATTATAAATTAATTGTTGTGTAACTATTTTTAAATTAGTGACAGAAGAAAGTAAATATACTATTTTTTCTCATTTTATGCAACAATACCATATTGATCATTTGTTTAATCTTTTCATTTCCATTTATACATACAACTGTTCTCGTTTAATCATCTTTCAATTTACCTGCATACGAGCTAGCTCAGATTCTACATGCTTGATATGGAATTTGGATAGTCCGTAAACGTTGACTTTCTTAAAATTCATCGTGTACATGGAAAAGGAATGCTTCATATCCGGCACAGCCATCGGATCCGGTATCGGTGCGCCCGGAAGCCCGACCGGATCATCCTGCTGATAATGCTTGAGAATCGCACGAATTTGATCCCCGAGCCGCTGCTCGCCTGCAGCAATCTGAGCTGCTTCACTTTTATCTAGAATAAGTCACATCACCTCATTCTTAATTAATAATGTCAAATAATAAATATTAAATAGTATAATTAAATATGACAAAAATTTTATATAATATCAAGGGCAATCAAGATTATACAAATAAATGTTTATAGCTCCAAAAATTATCCTAAAATATTTAAGATAGATTATAGTTCGGAAATTTAATTATTGAAATTTTGCAAACGATATAGCTCTATATCCTACAATAATTTATGCTACGATTGCCCCTTGAACTATTGGATTATATTGCGTAAGACGAGCGAATCATTTGCATAAAAAATAATGTGGCAACTATAGTTCGTCATAGTTATCAAATGAATAACGTCAATCGCTTTTTTATTTATTTCTGACATTATATAAAAACTAATTTTTCGAAGTTTAGTTAAAGTTTTAAATTGCAAAAGTTTGTTTATCCATGGATAACATCATATTCAATTAAATCATATTTAATTAATTTACAAAATATATATATAGAGATGAGTTGGAATTATTTATGTAAACTTAATAAGCTATTATAGAACTATTTATAGAGTTAGCAAGAATGAAAAATTTCAATTGAGAAAAAGCCACATTTTTTTCATGTGAAATTTACAATTGGATCAAATCACATTCAAACGATATACGAAAAGTATATCGCTTTTATTACAAAAAAATTCGCTCTTAAATTACATCGAAATCATATATACCTATCATAGATGACGAGGTATCGTTCAGCTTTTTTGACTCATCGCTCGCACACAGACCGCACAGGAAGCAGCACATCATCAAGAAGATTGTTGCTCGCATTTCCGATTGGAGCGAACGCAGCTCGTACCACATGTTTCGGTTTTTACTCTCGATTAATATATTAATTAATTTTAATTTTCAGCACGCATTACACGCACACATTCACACATACAAATATATTATATATACGTTGTTAATTTGAGGTAGGTGCAACGCTTATCAATAAACGATGACGACAACGTGCGACATAGGGCGACTATAGAGAAAGCACACGTTCGACTGGTCGAAGTAGTACGCGAGTGAATTTAGTAGAACCATATCTGTCTGACAGGTCATTGAGGGAGCGAGGGTCAATCGCTTTATCTCTATCCGTACCCCTTCTCTCTTTCTTTCTTTCTCTCTCGCCCTTACGTTGCATCCTCTTCTTTATCCGCTTCTTTCTTCTTTATTTATTATGTTCGTTTGATCTTCATATGGCTTCAAGTGTTGCGATGATCGATTATGCGAAAAAGCAATTCCTAATCGATGATAAGGAGAGAAAATTGGATTTTTGATCCAAAAAGAGGGCGTTTTAGTCTCCAAATAATATGCATACCTGGAAACATATAGCGGACTTAAAATCATGTTTTCGATTTTTATTTTATTTTATTTTTTTTTTTTTTTGACAACCACTTTAATCCGCGACTGTTTTATCATTTTTTAAAATTTAATGAAAAATAAAAATAAGTTGTTATAATTTGATTTAAAGAGGTTATGTACATATAATTTTATTAAAAAATTACGAACGCGATTATTAAATTTTATAATCGCTAAAAAGTTAAATTTTATTGAAATTGTAATTAAAATTAAATTAATATCATATATAAAATTAAAATAAAAATAAAAGAGTTCACTCAGCAAAAAACATCGATCCAAAAATATCCAAAAATAGTGTTGAGAAAATAAAAGAATAAGGATGCAGTTTTATCCATGATTTGCATCTGCACTCATCCCTTCAAAAGCCATATATATATATATATATATATATATATATATATATATGTATGTATATACACAAATCGTATTGTCAAATTGATCGGTATTCAGTCACAGATCAATTGGCTTGCACATCCGGCTGGTCTCAACCGGAACGGTTGTTAAATAAATTTCCGTTGCATTGTCATGGCAATTGAAACTTAATTTGCGTAACTCGCAATTATTTCAAGAGTGTATAATAATTATATAACTGAATAAATGTAAAGGAAAAATATTGAAATGGACAGATCCTATAAAGTTGATCTATATAATTAATCTTGATTAGAAAAAGAAATGTTAATTTATTTTAAGGCTCTAAGAGTCAAAGGACCAAAATATCTAATTTCGATATCTTTCTCATTATCTTTAGAATCTAAATTAAAATAGAGATTATTGATGCTAAATTGAGATATCAAAATAATCAAAATTTATCAATATATCGCATTATAGAATTGTGGTTATATATTATATAGTATGCTTATAGGGTACATGTAAATAATACTATACCTCATTTAACATTTACTCAGTATAAAAGAATATTCATCGTCGTACGATATAAAAAGAACTTTTATCTCTACATTTTTCTGAAGACTCATTAAAAATGTGCGTTTCACGTTCGTCCGTTATTTTGTGTCCCCAACATTGAAAAGTGTTTTCAAAATGACCTAATAAGGATGAAAAATCTTGCGCTTCGAAGTGAAAATAGCGTCAAGTGGATCTTGAGTCTCAAATAATTTAGATGTCCGTTCAAAAATCTACCTGTAAGTAAAGTAATGTCTCATTCACCAATCAGAACGGAAGGAGCAAAAATCTCATCGTTCTGTTTGGTCAATTAGATGTTACTTTATCCCTTGCGTAAGATTTCTGAACATACTTACGAGTCATGGATCTAGCGAGAAATGGCGGGATATTTGAATTGACGTATAAATTGAAAATAAATTTATACATGCGAAATAAAATTAATTATAAAAATACAATTGCTTCTTCCAAAATCTCTCATTAGCGTTTGTATAATGTGTCTTTTTTGAAGAACAAAGTGAACTGGAAATAAAAATACATTATATATACCTATTTATATAATATATAATAATATATAATATATATTATATATATATACATATAATAATATAATAATATAATTATATTATTTAATATATTATATTTTATATATATTATAATATATTATAATAATACAATAATATAATAATAATAATAATAATAATAATAATAATAATAATAATAATAATAATAATTTTATGTGTATAATTTTATATATATATAATAATAATAATAATAATAATAATATATATTATGTTATATTACTTATATTGCTCTATGGGAAACGCGTTCGTGACGTATGATCACGTGAGTGCAGCGTTTATTTATAGATATAGCGAGTGTAATTCGGCAAATGTATATATATATGTATGTTGTGTAAGTAAGTATGCATACCTACATCACTACATCGATCTAATACAGACGTGCAAGTGAACTTTGGTGTGACAGAAGCGAGAAGAAGGATATTTAGAATACATGTATAACAAAGGAGGTAAAGGATTCTTCGTGTCGAGGTGTTTTGATGCCTGCGAATTATGTTGTGCACGCAATCCCGAGGCAAACGCCTTCTCGTGTACCTGTGAAAGACATACATTTGAAGGCTGAACGTCTGTTTGTCCCCGTGAGAACGAAATGCCACTTTAGTTGACGTTTAACGATTATTCGCGATTAACGAAACACGAAAATTATGTCGAAGCCCGATGCACCGAAATTTGTCATCGCGCTTTTTTCTTTCAAAGGGAAAAACAACGATGAGGTATGTAAAAGAGAGTACTCTGATAATAATTCTGAGAATGTCAACGATATCAGAAAAATATATATCATATATATTTCCAAAAACACTTTTTTACTTACACAATATTCTTTTTTTTTAGTTGTGTTTCAAGAAAGGAGATATTATAACGATAACTCAAGTGGATGATGAAGGCTGGTGGGAGGGCACGTTAAATGATAAAACTGGTTGGTTCCCCTCGAATTACGTTAAAGAATATAGAAATCCAGGTATAAACTCTCTTTAAATGTGTTTAAATTTGAATATTTACTATGTATAATTTATCTGGTTTTATATTCTCAACATTCTATATACTATCTGATAAATGAATGTTTAGATGGTGGTCATACATCGATCAAAACATCTCCAGAAAGAAGCCCACAGGAATCACCAGCCCATCAGAAACTTAATCGCGACATAGTATTGAAAGATATTGTGGAATCTGAGAGAGTAAATGTAGCAGAATTGCAAGGTTTAGTGAATAACTTTTTACAGCCTCTTGAGGCATCAAATATGTAAGTTATATGATAGCTAGAACATAAAGGAAAACATATTTATATATAAATTACATATTTTATATATAAAAGCATAAACTTGAAATTATGTATATACATATAGACTGAAGAAGGATGAATATAAGCAGCTACTTGGTAATATACACGAAATCTTGGAAACTCACCAATGTCTGTTGGCAAATTTGGAAGCAACCATTTTACAAGGACTTTCTGGAAGAATAGGCAACCTTTTCTTAACTATTGCACCAAGGCTAAAATCTATTCATACTACATATTGTAATAATCATCCACAAGCTGTTTGTATACTAGATAGATACAGGTAACTATTGAGAAAGAGATATTAGATTAGTTTCAAATTATATTTTTATAATGATCAAATATATTAATATATATTATATACATTATCATGTTATAGAGATGAATTAAATGAATTTATGGAACATAGCGGAGCAATATCACCTGGTATATTGGTATTAACTACTGGTCTTAGTAAGCCATTCCGAAGATTGGATAAGTACTCTGCAATGCTTCAAGAATTAGAAAGATATACTGAAAAGAATCATCCAGATAGAGGAGATACTCAACGTAGTATAGCAGTATATAGGGAAATCACGGTACAAGACTTAATCTATATAAAACAATTGTTATTAACGTTTAATTTTATGTAAATTTGCTTATAATATCTAATGTTGGATTATTGTTAGGATCATTGTGCTTCCATACGTAAGCAGCGTGAGCTGGCACTTCAAATATTAACCAGTGGAATTAAAGGCTGGGAAGGTGAAGAATTAAATTCATTAGGCGAGATTATTCATGTTGGAGCTGTAACTCTGGCAACTGTAGATCGCAGAGACCGATATTTTGTTTTATTTCCCACCACACTACTAGTTCTTAGCACAAGTCCCAGGATGAGTTCCTTCATTTATGAGGTATAAATTTGAAAATATTTATATATATACACTGATTTAATAATACAATTTTAATATACAATGGTCTTATTTTGTGTATTATTTGTGTAGGGAAAACTCCCATTAACTGGTATTAATGTAACTGGAATTGAAGATACAGATGAAATAAGAAACGCTCTAGAGATCACTGGTACGATTATTATTATGTATCATAATTTTATCTTATAATAGGTATAACAAACGTCAATTTGTAATTTAGAAAACGAGTAAACAGATACATCTGTTTTTCTTAAAAAAAAAGAAAAAAAAATTTTTTTAGAATAGTGGTTTCTAAATAATCACAAGTTATGTGTTTTAAGGACCAATGATTGAGAGTATCGTCGTGCTGTGTGCCACAAAAGAAGAGAGACAACGTTGGATCGATCTCTTGATTCAGGATCAAGGCACTAGCCCCTTGAAATCGCCAACAGTGTCACGTGTGAGTTGTCATCATCCTCCGTACGCTCGACTCTCGAGATACTTTGCGAAGCTCGTGAGAAAAAAAGTCATATACCCGGAATTAGTGAAAAAGTTGTTATACATGCAATATGTTTTGAGGCCCGACTTGAGCGATGTAAAAATGAGAAAGTGCAATGTGACCTATATTATTTTAACCGCTCGTAGCAGTGGATCAGAGTCAGACGCATCTGCTGAGAGTAATGTACAGGAAGAACCGCGAATATTGCGTAAATCCTCGGTAATCCTGGACGTTAGATACGTGATAGATAATACTGATCTTAGTACGGTGGGACTCGCGAGCACCTCCTCGCTCACGAATTTCACACCGAGAGCCGATCGCGATTCCTTCGCCGAAACTAGTAAAAGTTTACCACCTGATGCCGCGATGAGTCACGTCCTGCCGCTTGCGTCGAGCAAATCCTACACGCCGAAATTTCAAGCGCGTAACGAGTATTGTCGGGAACATCTGGAAATTCCGCACGACCGAGAGCACGGCGATCTAACGATGAATTATTCGAAAACGATCGAGCTCTATCCGAAAATGTCGGAGATTCATTATAACTCGGTGACAATCGCCCAGGAGGATAGCGTAAAAGCGGAACTTGGGCAAACGGGCGCGAATACCAGTTTACGGTCGTCGGATTCGGGAATGGCCGAGAGTTATCGCTTAAATTCGTCTGAAATGAATTCCTGTTACAAGTCATACGCATCTAGTCATACGAAATATACAGATCCCGTAAGAACATCTCATAGCGAAAGCGATAACGACGAGAATAAATTTGAGCATCAGTGTATTTGTACTTCGCCGTTTGGCTCTACACCCCGAGATAGCGCCCATTCTTTGGGCTCGTCGAAAAATATCGATGAATGTACAAGTCTTGCGAAAACTAGCGATATTGATGGCGATGCGAATAACGATGCGAATAATAGCGGGAAAAAAATTCAAGAAACTGGATTAACTATACCTCTAATAAATTATGGAAACGTGCAAGGAAAGAGGTATACGCAACCGATACCATATGCACATCAGTGTGTAATTAAAAGAATCGGGAGACGTGTAATTCGTCCGATACAGCCGATTATGGAGGAACGTGATGAGCCAACTAATCAAGTGTTTTCATCTGGACTGTATGCTCATTGGTGGCTCAAGAAACCTATCCCGATATTTGGATACACGGAACAAGGCAAGCTTCCATGGCATGGCTGTTTCTTCTTTGATCATTTCAGTTTTTTAACCATTGCTGGTGTTCTTACTAATTATCATTTTTTTCACCAAAAAGAGTATGCCCTTATTTCACAGCCATGTTGTGTGAAGTAAGCTATTGCTTTACTAACACAATATATACATTATAGGATAGCTTTGAGAAACGTCACAAATACTTTTTCCGCATATGTTTTTATCTTATCGCATTGCCATCATTCATTTTTCAAAGGTTTCATTGATTTTGATTTTGAGTAGGCACAGCTTTAGCTTTTAGGTAGGGCGTGCACTCTAAAGTGATGATTTTGAATTTTAAAAATAATTTCGTATTAAAAGTAGGATCGTAAAACAATAGAATATAAGTTTCTGTAATAATAAAAAATATTTTAATAATAATTATTAATATATAATTATATGCTTAAAATATATTATATTTAATATATATTTTTATATAATAATATATTTATAATATATATAATATATTTAATATAACTATTAATATATATAATTATATATAAATAAATTGCACCGATAATTTGTAAGCTATGCATGCATAGAAATAATAGAAACATTTCTAATGTATTGATGTTCTTGAAATATTATAAATTATACTCTATATTGTAACAGATGATCAATCAGCTGAACGGGAAGCACCAACAACCGATGGGGCATTGCACGTCTCCAGGAATTAAGGCACCTTGGAGCCTTGCATCATTAAGACCCGCTCCTCCCATATATTCTCTTAAGAGCTTTGGAAAAATAGATACTACCACAGATACATCGCGTCCACAACGATCATGCAGTAAGAATTTTTGTATTAAACATGTATTAAATATTTTTAAAATCATTTCCTGTCATTTATTTATTTATGTTTTACAGACGAGCGACAGTTTGAAGAAGATGCAATCATACTGAAAGTAATAGAAGCTTATTGTCTTTCTGTCAATGCTAGATTTACTGTACATTCTGCAGAATCTAATTGTAAGTGGTAATTGATTTGAAAGATAATCATTAACAATTTCTGTTGTAAATTTTGCAAGGTGTTTTATGTAAGAATGAAGAAATTATACTTTTATGTTTCAGCAATGTTAGATTATGATTCACAAAAATCACGCGATAGGGTATCCTATGCGCAAAATAGAGGCAATTCAGAATCTTGTAATGACAGGTGAGTATAAAAAAAATTAATATCAGTTTGAAAAAATACCTGTCTCACACACACATTTTTCATTACAATAAATTACTCAAACCTAATAATTATCTTGAAAAGTCAAATATTGTTTAAATACTTTTTTATTATTCATTTAATTTAGAAAAAAATTGAGAGAGAATCAGGCAAAGATTTATTAGTTAATATATATCTGTGTGTGATATTTAACAATACGTTTTTATGTCAATATTAATGTATGCTCTGTACACAGGACATTATCTGAAACGGTTAAAACATTGAAGAATCAAATGACGGACCTGCAATCACAAATGTCACTACTAACAAAACAATTAGACGAAGAAAGAAGATCCCGACTTTCATTAGCTGCTACGGTAAAACGTAGCATGGGAGTCATAGACGGATAAAGATATTGATAACATCAAAAATATATAACCATAAGAAGAGTGTTCCAAAAGTTGTTCATAATGTTCATATTTTATATATACAAGTTTTAATTATAAAAACACATTATATATATCATGCATTGTTGGAATGTTTTTCATAAAGTTTACTATTTGTTACACATATGCGCGCATCTCACACACATACATAACATATATACATTTATGATAAGCATAGAATAAAGAGACAATATATATAAAGAAATTATTTATGTATTTTTTTAGAATATTATACACTTAGAAATAAAAGAATTACCAAGAAAATTGTGTATATATATTTTCATTATAAAATTCACATTGATTATAAAACATTGACATTATACAAATTGATTTCTAGTAAAAATTATTGAAAATGATGCAATGAATGCATACATATTTAATTGTATAATGACAAATCTGAATAAGATAATGAGATTCTATCTAATAAAAATATGCAATTTACTCAAAAAACTTGTATTTATAAGAACTGTCACAAATTATTTCAATGTTATTCATATTTACAGTTGAATATTTGAAGTTATGAGAAAAATTGTGTACTCATCGTAACTTATTTTTTATACGCTCTAATTCATTAACTCTACTTCGTGCATGTTCCAATCTGTGCCATGCCATTTGTAATACTTTCTGACTTGCATATCCGGAACCTTCGTGTGGTTGACCTATAAGATATTGATAATATAGATAAATTGAGAAGTGTTGGCTTTTCTCTCTGTCAAAATATAAGTGCATATTCTACCAACCTGTTGAAACCTGTGTAAGATAATTAATTTGTTCGCTCAACTTAGATTCCAATTGTCCCAGTGTTTTTAAAAATTGATGTGTTTGCGACTCTGCCTGTTTTAAGCTGCATTTCTCTTTACTCAATTCCTGTAAAGCTTGTCCTGTATAAAAATATAAAATATATTTCGGTAACATGTGCATCCAAAATTTCGGTATACAAACCGTATTAAACGAAAGAAAAAAGTAGTTATTAATAAAAAAAATTGAAAAAATTACCCGCACTTTGCAAACACATTACAATATCCTTTTCGATAGCCTCCAAAATCTGAATTCTTTCCATCGGAGGAGTCATTGCGCCTTTTATTTGTATTTACAATTATTTTCGAATTATAGGACACCTATAAATCCGTTTTGAGATTCAATCAATTTCATTCACACCTTAATCCAATTTTTTCGTAATCACGCGGTGCAAAATATAATAAATTATTCAAATATACATTAAATATCAAATGATGCCGGAAAAAATATAAACAAGCCTTACAAGGTTAAGAACGCCTCTTTATCGAAAGAGGAGACACTCGACTCGACGAAGAATCGATTAGTCCAAGCTCACCTCCCATTGGTCCGCTCGGTCGGTCGATACTATCGATACTATCGCGCGGCCAAATTGCGATTCTCGAAAGTTGGAGCGCCAAACCGTCTCAAAAGTAATCGAACCGCGAGTCGCGTTGGCAGGCGCCGAATTTTCTCCCACATTTTGTATAATTATTATCGTTTACACGTGAATTTCGGCCGCGAATGAACGCCGAAAGTGTTTTCCTCAACGCGAGTAACGCGAGTGAGTGAATTATGCCGCGTGCACCATTCAATATATGTCAATTTTCGCGATTTCGAAAATCACCATGTGTATGTGTGTGTGTGCTCAAGTTTGGCAAAGTATCGCGTATTTCGTGTTATTTCCTCGCGAAATGTGCTTCCTCGAAGTGGAAACGAATTTCGGAAGTGTTCGTGTTAACGCGATTGTATCGCGCGGGTTATTTAACGCGAATATCGCGAGGATATTGATACCGGCGTTTCGTGTGTATGTGTGTGTGTGTGTGCTCCGACTCGGCCGAACCATTCATTTCATTATTTGCTCGCCGAAGTGGGTTTTATTGCAGCCAAAATGCAGCTGGTCACGCAATCACCGTTGGGTATGTACATATATATACATAAATATGTCCTGTAGAATTGTAATATCTAATTTAATTGTCCATTTGAAATGTTGATTCTCTTCTGTGCATGTATGTATGTGCGCGTGAAAGAGAGAGAGAGAGAGAGAGAGAGAGAGAGAGAGAGAGAGAGAGAGAGAGAGAAATATAAAACTTTTTCTTTCAAAATCCATAATCATTTACAATAATCCATATAATCATTTACAATAATTTTCATATATTAAAAAATCAAGCTTTATTATTATTTGTATTATTATGGAAAATTGCATAATATAGAATTTTATAAAAATTCTTTTATATATATATGTCTATCTAATTTTATTTTTCTAATTAAAATTGCAATATTTAATTTAATTTGTCCAATTAAAATTTTAATTTTTTTTTATAAGAGAGAGATAAAGAGAAACAACTATTAAAAAAGTTTCTCTTTTACAATTTACAACCACTTACAACATTCCTATATTAAAAAACCAAAATTATTAATTGTATAATTATTAGAAAATTTGATAAAAAAATCTTTTTATTAATTCTTACAAATTTTCGATTTTGGGAATCCAAAAGCTTTCTTTCGTATATCGGGCGAAACAAATTAAATTCTATTTTCTACAACTATGTCACATATAAGCCAATTTATTATTGTTTACTGCTTAACATCTATTTTAATCTAAAAAAAAAAAAAAAATAAATAAAATTATCCGATAATGATACTGTCGTCGCTTATGAATCTATACTCGGGTATCTCCAAGTTGGTCGATGCCGGACCCTTTCGTATGCGACCGGCCGCGTCAAAGTGCGAGCCGTGACACGGGCAAAAGAAGCCGCCCGATATAATTCCGGCGTTCGGAATCGGTACGCATCCCAAATGCGTGCAGATCCCCACCACGACCAACCACTCCGGCCTTTTGACCCTATCGTCGTCCGTTTCCGGGTCGCGCAATCCCGATATGCTCACGGCTCTTTCCTGCTCGATAATCGATTGAGACCTGTATATAAATATGTATTTTTTTTTGTTGATCATTGGAAGTAAGTTCAATATATGGAATATATTATGATAATATATTGTATTACATGGATAAATTTAAAATAAAAATTTATCTTGCAATCGCTGAGACATCACTTGCAAAAATTAAAAAAAATGCATTCAACAATATTTTTGATCATTCATACAATTTGAATATTAAAATAATATTATATTAAATAATTTAAAAAATGATAAAATTAATAATATTAATAATACAAAAAAGTAATATTAAATAAAAGCGGAATATTGAATTTGACATTTATATTGAGATACGCGCGGTAATTAATAAAAAATTTTTAAACAGCAATTATTCAGAATTTATTATTTTTCGCTTGTATGCCTTTTTTTAATAACTATTTTAATTTGTACTACATCTTACCGGTGATAGATGAAAACAGGTTTTCCGCGCCACTTAACGATTAATACTTTCCCTTCCGGTATATCACCTATTTTCACTTCTAATTGAGCTTCCGCCAACACATCTCGTGAAGGCGACAAGAAGAGTACATAATGTAGTAGATGAGATTTAAAGGTATACAATCCAGCAACTCCACCGGCTAAAAAAGTATATATAATATACAAATATATATTAAAATTAGACAAAGCATAAAATAAAAAAAATATATTTAAAAAATTTTACGCTGTCTACAATTTTAGAGCATATATTTGTATATTTGTTGTGTTTTGCTGCGAATTTGTAGGAATATTTTGTATCCATTCTAGTAAAAGAGACAAGGAATGGTATACTAACAAAAGTGTTATAAAAACATTATAAATAATATAATAAAATCTTTTTCGCACTAAAAGAGGCAACGCAGCTCAGCGCTTTTCGTTTCTCGATATTTTCCGCAGCCGGTTTTTCGGAATCTTGCGTAGATTTTCGTCGATATTCTTCGAAATTAGGTCTCGGTATATCGGTATGAGCATATCTATACAATTGTTTGAGGTCTAAATCGAAATAATATGCAAACAATTATATATGAAACTTTGCTTATTAAAGGCAGATATAAAATTACGTTCTATTACTCATTATATTTCTAATCTCTAATAGTCAATAATATAACAAGTTTTATAATAGGAAATATCTAAAAAAATATATAAGAAAGTTTATATTTTATATAGATACTTACGATTTATTGGATCCGGTCGTAGCAAGAATGAAAGATATTTATTGTTATTCGAAATGAAAACATTAAAAATGTATTGTTTTGCAAAAGACATTTTTCTTATCAATAAAACATAACCGATAAATTTATCGCTATAGCTTATTTGGCACATTTATTGTACTGTCAGACTTTGAACTTTGAAGCTGAAGTTTTACAAAACTTTTATCTATTTTTTCTCTGACTTCAATTGTCAATAACACAACGAATATATATATATATATATATATATATATATATATATATATATATATATGTATTCATATTTATTTTTTCATTTTTTATATTTAAATATTTATTTGTACTAATATATATAAAGAGGTAAAATTTGTTTGTTTCATTGTTCGGAGTAATCTCGTAGAAACTACCGAGCTGATTTGAAAAAAATTTTTTACTACGGTGAATTATTACATAAATTTTTAAATATAAATATTTATAAAAATCCTATATATAAACTATTAAAAAAATTTTTTTATTTATGTAAAATTATTTTATTTACATATTTATATATAATTTATTGTATTATTATGTACCATATATAAAGTTTGGCATCTTCAATAATAATTTTTTGAAATAGTAATTAAATTTGAATGTGGCTATAATTTAGATTTTATATTTGTATGTTACAGAGACAACGAAAATTCGGAATTCGGGATGAGTGTCGTTAAAAATATCGCGCGTAGAAGTGCGGGAGTTCCGTTAAATGTATCGCGCGTACGAGTGCGGGAGTGCCGTTAAAAGTGTCGCGCGTGTTAGATTTTGATGATCCTGACAACCTGAGAGGAGGAGGAGGCCTAGGAGAGGCATCGAGCATCGGTGAAGCAACTTTAAGGTGAGTATCGTTATTTATATATTAATTATTATAATAAATCACAATATTTCAGTTTTATTTATTTGAACAATTTAAACAAGAGCAACTTAGAGATATTACATACATTTTTAAGAGATATTATATAAATATTTATATAAATCTCTTATAAAAGTTTCTACTTAAAAAAAATGTTTTAATTTATAAAATTATTTTATTATATATATATATATTTATGTGTAATTTATTATTGTTATGCATCAAATATAAAGTTTGGTGCGTTCAATAATTTTTTGAAATTGTAATTAAATTTGAATGGTGTTATATATATAATATAGATTTTATATTTGTATGTTACAGACAACGTAGTTTAATATCAATTACACTCCGCTGATGTGCATCGGTGTCGGTGAGTGAGATAAACTGTTATTTAATTTTGAAGTATAACGAATGTATAGGATATATAATGGATGGACTAGAATGAATTAGATTTAAATTAAACTTACTTAGATTGGACTTTTGATATAAATGCCTTTAATATACATCATTAAAGCATATATTACACAATATAAGTGTAAATTAAAGTATAAATTAACGAAAGATATAAAGAATTTCAATTTAGGTTTCACTTATTTATTTTATTTAAAGAACGTGCTTATGATTTTATTAATTATATATAACTGCGTTAATATATAAAAATAACTTTTTTTTAACAAACGATTATTCTAACTTTTTAGTCTATCCATCTATATGTATAGTATAACATGTATGTATATGAAATATTGTGCATCACTTTTTTCATCCATCACAAGCTGTTAGTTCTTATAATGCATTCTAAATTATATTGTTATTACATAAAATATAATATACTGAATTATAATGATATATTACATGAAAAAGTACAGAAGAGTAGTTTTAAATACAATATTTTATATATATAAATATAATTTATATCAAAATTTTAATTTAAAAGTGAAATAGTTGAACTATATTGGCATTATTAAAAACCATTAACAAACCCATAGGCACGAAATAAAATTTATAAATATCTATATATAAAATATATATTTAATACAATTAATATATCCACAGATGCATACAATATCGTTGCATCTGTAGAAAATAAATACAAATTACAATCTTGATAACAACAAACTTACTAATAATGCTATGAAATAGTGAACAACATCAGAAGCTATTCTACTTGCATCGCTCTTAAAGTATCTCGAATATATTCCAAACGTTATTAAATTATTTGTACTGTTATCTAAAAACATATTAACGTGCACATGATCATCATGAACATGTTCGTCATATGTCCAGTTTTTAGAAAGCGGAAGTAAATCTGAACGTAACGTAGATGGCATGATCAAAAGGTTCTTGTAATCGTGGAACGTTGCTGTAACTTCAATGTTGCCGAATGTTGTTTTCGATTCTTGTACAGAACCGCACGATGAGATCGCGTCGTTTGAACATTGAATTATACCGCATGCTTGTACGCCAGCTTCAACGATACCATAAATACGAAGACCATTAAAAGCTACTAAACGATACTTTGTATTTGAATCTAGTGTCACTTGTATTTTAAAATCGCAGCAGAAGTTATTATGGCAGACAGTCTTGTTGGTGTCTCCTTCCAAGGAAGACGTTTTAAAGGCACTAATATTGTCAGTGTGTAAAAATAGGGTATTATTATCTATCACTGTATTGTCAAATTTATTTTTATTTTCCCATAACTTCTCGCGCATACTTTCCTCCATAAGTGGTGAAACTTTAGTATTGTATGATACAACTTTTTGATCGTGGCCTTTTGAATGATCGTGATGGTTCTTATTAAATCTGTTTTTCTTGTTTTTCTTGGGTACTTCAAATACCAATACTTCTTCGTGTATAGTGTTAGACATTATTGCAGTAGCAATTCCTTTACGACCTGTATGATGAATTATTTCGTACAGACATTTGCATGGCAAATTTCTTATAAATATAAGCATATATAAAATAAATTCAATTACCTAAATAAATTCCACTACCAGTACTACCAACACTAGGTTTGTTATAACCGGAAGCTAAAAAATTCACATCTTCACTAAATGACCATCCTGCTTGTGTTTGTACAGCTGAAATAATTAATATCATATTACTCTGCATTTTTTATGAAACTTCAAACTTCTACAGGAAAAATATATGTTACCTGTTAAGAATGGTGCTTCAGAAAACCATGCTGTAGTATATACAATGTCAGTAACTTGATGAAGCCTTGTTAATTGTAATGCAGGCTCGTAAAATAATATATCAAAACATATAAAAGTTCCAAATTTGACTCCAAAATCAGTATCAAAAGTTACTATTTCTGGTACTAATGTCACATTAAATTGTCGTTCGATAAAAAGATTCGTTTTACGATACCTATTTATCATAATTAGACATCAGTGTAGTGTTGTTAGAGATACGCATACATTGCAAAGTTAATAAACATACCTGGCGATAATTTTTCCTGTGCGATCAAATACAACGTTACTATTATAATAAAATATCTTATCTTTTGGGCATACATTTTCAGTACAAGGCAGTTTCTCAGCAATATTGATTACCACATAAATTTCATTACCTCTTGCAGCACAAGAGATTTTTCTCAGTGTCTGTAATTTTTTTACAATAATTAAAATTGACAAAAATTTACATTATTGATTTTATAAAAAATTTTATACAATGTACAAGATACGTACATCACTGACTTCAAAAGTACTGTTAATACAAGGTGTATAGTTTTCTGAAGCAGCGGGGATAATAGTTGTCCAATTTTCCATTTCTTCCCTTTCAGGAAGATTAGTTGTTGTTAATCCATCTTCAGGGAAAACAATGATATCAGCATCCTAAAGAATATTTATATATTTAGATGATTTAAATAAATTTTTATATATAGAATATGTATATTGTGAAAGGTAAGAGAATACTTTTTGTGTCAAACTAGATTAATTTCTATATGAAATATTTCTAATATAAAACGTTTTAACAATAATTTTTCTTAAAGATACTTACCCTTCTCTTAGCTGTTTTAATATGTTTAACATATGCATCAGAATTTGTGCTTAAAGTCTCCTTGGCATTGTTTACATATTTTGGATTATATTCTACTACAGCTGCTTTATAAGTTATTGAATTTGGTGTTGATATCTGTGTTCGTAACAAAGAATATAGATTTATGAAAAATATATATTTGATTTATATGAAATAGATTATTTAGAGAGAAACATATAATTTAATATATTAAAATATATCATTAATAAATATAGCAAAATTATTTTATATTTATTATTTACCTGATGCGATAGATGTGCACATGCTATTAAAAGACATATAACGAACCATTGTTGATTCATGTTTGACAATGTCTCTATAAACAAGCAAGAAAAATTTAGTATGTAAATAATTTATAAGATTGTGATATATAGAAATACTATATATTTAAATAAAAATAATTGAAATTATAGATCTTCAATAGTTCTTACAGTAATAGAGATTATAATTTGAATTCTTTTCTAAAGTCCTTGTTATTAAATCGAGTTTTGTTTATATTATTTATATATTTCAATATATAACCATTAAAACCATTTTATAACAAAAGTTTCATAGCTGTAAGCATTCTACTTTTTCTAAAAAAAAAAAATTATTTTTACATTCATATAATAAATTGCGTATTTTGTAACATTTCATTAAAAATGCTGAATAAAACTGAGTTCATATATCTATGTAAATAATTGCGATATTGAAATATTTACATAAATAATTTTAATTTTAAAAATTATAATCTCTGTGTCCACTCCGTGAATTTAGGTTAGTCTTCCATTGATTCAAAATTACGCATATTTGTTCCTATTTATAGTAAATATACATAATCAGAAAAGAGATAAACGTCTCACGTTACATACTCTGAAGTATCTCTTATCAGTTCATATCGAACCGATAAGGCTTTTGTTGTAAAATTAATTACCAGAAACATCGTATACAGATAAAAATACACTACGCACACGAATTCTGTTCAGGCAGAAAACAGCTGATGTGTTACGTCACAAAAAGCGCGGATATTTTTAAATTTAAAAGAACATATATAATAATAAATATATAAAGCAAAAAAAAAAATAAAATAAATAAAGACCTAAAGACAAAAGGGAAAGTAATACAAAAATTAATTTTTTTCTCCAATCTGAATAAAAAAAACAAAGGACCCCGCCCGGTTCTTATGGAAAATGGGGTCCCGGTCAAATTGGCCCAACTTTTGATATGATGTAGATTTTGACTCACTGATTAAAAGTCTCAATGGTCATCAGGCCAAATAATGAATAGTTTTGGAGTTACAGCGGCTTTAATATCCAATTGACGCCGGATGACGGATATCGTCCGGCGTCAATTGGATATTAAAGCCGCTGTAACTCCAAAACTATTCATTATTTGACCGGGACCCCATTTTCCATAAGAACCGGGCGGGGTCCTTTGTTAGACTCATATATAATGTGCAAAATTTGCAATTACATTTTGTAATTATGAAATCGTGATTAAAAGCCTTGTTGGGATATTGGAAATATTTTAATATAGGTTGTTTTAATGCTCGCAATTAAGCGGAAAGAATAATTATACTTCCTCGCCGATGAATAATTATTTCCGTGTAATAATATATATATATGATATATGATATTATAATATAGGTGTGTGTGAAAAATGACGCAAATACGTATGCGTTTATGATAGCTTGATTAAAAAGTAATTAGAAAAGGATATATTTCTCTCGAGCAGTTTTTTTGCTATCACTCTCTTTAATAAAGCATTTCCGGGGGATTTGAATTTACATAAAACCTTTCCCGTGAAATCTCTACTAGAGACTATACGCGCTGACAAAATTCGCACGGAAAGAAGCAGCGTACCGGAACATTTTCGCACGGTATAAATTAACGATTAAGCTAGAATAAAAAGTTTCAATATCGTAAGATAGCAGGGTATTGCAAAAAATATATAATTACCCAATAAAATCACTTTATCTTCACTATACAGTCGCGATAAGAGCAAATTTCTTATATCTGGAGCGCGACACTTTCTAGTATTTCGTGGCAGTTTCAAGTTCCTTTCACACGCTGACTTGACACTTTATTCCTTCGAACCGTTCTCGACGAATGTTTCAAGGCGATTGGATTTGTGCGTTGGGTTTCCCCGTCTATATACGTACATATACATATATATATTGATCCAGTGTGCATAGTACGTACGCTGTACATATCTGTCACGTATGCCGCGCTTTCTGGAAAAGAGGAAAAATAAGTTTAACTGCTTGTTATTGCATACGTAGAAACTCATGTTTAAGAATGTAAAAAAATTCATAAAAATGTAACAATACTTTTGTAACTTTTTTTTAAATATATATTCTGATTATATATATCCTTGACAGCACAACATATCCGAAAGACATTCAAAGGATATCTAAAGGACATTCGAACATCCTCTGGGTGTCCTTAGGATGCCCTCTGAACGTCTTTCGGATATGTGTGTTGTTGGGGATAAACAGCTTTTGTTAAATGAAACGGTTCAAAGTTACAACTTTGCATTGTATATGTGTATACGCGAGTGCTAAAGCTAATGATTGATATCTTCCCATACAGCATAGATTATTGCAATTATATTGCAGCAACGTTGCAATGTTGCAAGTTGCAATGCAATATTATAAAGACATTGCAGAGATATAAGTGCACAAAATTCCAGCACACTTGTAGTAACATGACATTAATATTTCGGAAATATTGCATGTAATCCAAATTTTATAATTTATATATTGTAATATATATAAATTAACTACAACGTATTTTCATTAATGATTTATTTACATTTATATACCTGTATATGCAACATTAGTTTATGGTTGCAATAACAATGCATTATTGCAAACTCATAACATATTGCAATATTGTTGTAATATTTTGTTGCAATCTTCCAAAAAGCGGACATTTTAACATTGCTGCAATTCAACAGCAATGATGTAGCAACATTTTGCAGTGAATTTGCAATATTGCAATGTTGCGGTGAAAGATTGTTGTAATGTTTTTGCAATCTATCGGTGCTGTATGGGTTATGATTGATTATATTTAAATTTTTACAGTTCAAAAAGTATTGTTCAGAATTAAAAGATAATTTTTTTATAATGAAGTTCTCTTTTTTATTAATGTTCTCAAGTTTAGATCGCACCTTGGTAAAAAGTTTTTTATATATAACAATATAAAATTATATAGAAATATATAAAATTATACATATAATTGCAAAATTATGTATGAAATATGTCCATACATAATTTAGATAAAAGTGCTTTTTATATATAATTATATACATTTATGTATATATATAATGAATAAAAGTATTTCTTCATATATATAAATATATCCCAGAGAGCACCATGTCCAAAATGCACCCATAAGACATCTTTAAATGTTTTTAAGAAGACGTTGGGATATCATATCATAAGAGTTCTTAGTCTTAAAGAAGTCTTAAAAATATCTTAATAGTGTCTCATTGATGCACTTAATTAGACATGGTGCTATCTGGGATGTTTCATATATAATTTCACATGATTATATATGAATTCTCATAATTTATATATAAATTTATATAATTATGTATAAAAATGGACATATATTTCGACATATCTAATTTTACGATTATCTGAAATTTTTTTATCGGAACTGTAAACGCAGATAACGATATAAGCGATGAATCACAATCAGTTAATCAAAAGATTCATTATTTCGCAATCAACACTAATTATATTTTGTTATTTGATGTTTATAAAAAATATGTAATTATTGTTTATTGATTGATTGATATATCATGTTAGATTTATATCGCTTCATAAAAAATGTGAGCTTTATTATTCCAAGATAATCGTTGTTGCGTGGTGTTGCTTTTCCTTTTTCAAAGCTGATGAAGCATAGTTGATCGTATTATGCTGATAGAAATATGAGGAAAATCTTTTATGTTATTATCTAACCTTGCAATCACATGCACATGAGTCATATGAAAAGAATTAAATATATGGCAGAGTTAATGAAGCTCTCAGATATTTTAGTCATCTCCCAGATAGTACCATGTCCAAAATGGACCAATGAGACACCATGAAGAAATCTTTAAAACGCCTTTAAAAAATCTTATGATATGATATCTCAACGTCTTCGTAAAAACATCTTAAAGATGTCTTATGGGTGCATTTAGGACATGGTGCTATCTGGGCTGTAATTAAGATATTTTTATGAGATTTTGAGTCATATACAATAATATATGCATTTTGTCATAAAAGTATCGTTATAATTATATATCACAAGAAAATTGTTGTACACACATAGTGATATAAATCTGATTTACAAATATAAAGATATTTAAGTTATTTGAATTTAGAATAATTTTTTTGTAAGCAAATATATACTTATATATTTCTTCTAATAAAAATTACATTCAAAATTATCTTTGTATATGGGAATTATAATATACAATATTAATAATTAATTTTTGCACATAGTTGAGAAAGAACTGGATCTAAAACTTATTAGCAGTTAATAAATACTGTTTCCAAACTTAGTAGTACTGATTTTATATAATTACGTGGACGTTAATTTCACGAACTCGTTAGATGGTAAGTTGTTTCTCTGCAAATATACTTATTAGTCTCAGCGGTTTGAATCTCGGATAGATACACACATATAAAACTTTGACTGCAAAATGTGTTACCATCATCAGTGTACCGATTGTGAATCTAAAGGTATTCGCTTCGTATATGCGGTACAATTTTGTTTTGTAAAAAAGAATCTATGTACGGTATTGTCTCACACATTAACAAGAAAGTGCTTGGAAATCTCAAGAGAAAGTTTGATTGAAGTCAGGTTCATTTGTCATTCAAAACTGTTTGAAAAAATTTCCCGACAGTTTATTAAAATGATAATAAAGATCAAGAGTGACAAAGAATAATTTTTAAATATTTTAATCAGGAAACATGCTTGCAAAAAATATAATTATTTTTCTGTTTCGATAACGTCGGAAATTATTCTTTTAATTATTACATTAGTTTATTTGAAACAACACTCGAAAATGTTTTTAACGTTTTTAATTTAACTTTTTCTGAAATGATGTCATATATTCGTTTTCAATCTATTTATAAATGTTTTGCAAATAATCATCAAAGACAAACATCTTAAAAAAAAAATTAATTTCTACGATACATTCCCTATTTACTGATGATAATTGTTTATTTGATATTCTTTGCAGCATTTACATAATATGATTCGTATTCATATTTAGTATTAATTTTTTTAATTTACATAATACATAATAGATGTCAAATTAAAGATATAAAATTGAACAAAATATTGATAATTAATGAACCAGATAGCTAATATTAAATGTGTAATATAACCTGGCATTCATGATATTCATTTCGCATATGAATAGATAACGCAATTGAAATATCAATCTTGATTGGGCTGATTGTTACTGAATCGAGTCCAAGAGAGATTGTTCGATCCATTGTCAAGTTTGTTTAATTAGTAGTCCTAAAGCGATCATGATTAACTTAAAGAGTTGTTAAGTATGAATATAATAACGCAATTGAAATATCAATCTTGATTGGGCTGATTGTTACTGAATCGAGTCCAAGAGAGATTGTTCGATCCATTGTCAAGTTTGTTTAATTAGTAGTCCTAAAGCGATCATGATTAACTTAAAGAGTTGTTAAGTATGAATATAATAACGCAATTGAAATATCAATCTTGATTGGGCTGATTGTTACTGAATCGAGTCCAAGAGAGATTGTTCGATCCATTGTCAAGTTTGTTTAATTAGTAGTCCTAAAGCGATCATGATTAACTTAAAGAGTTGTTAAGTATGAATATAATAACGCAATTGAAATATCAATCTTGATTGGGCTGATTGTTACTGAATCGAGTCCAAGAGAGATTGTTCGATCCATTGTCAAGTTTGTTTAATTAGTAGTCCTAAAGCGATCATGATTAACTTAAAGAGTTGTTAAGTATGAATATAATAATATAATTTGTTTATGATTACTTTTTTATTTTCTCTTGCATCAATATGTGGTTAATTTAGGTTGTAAAAATGAAATTAATTCAATTTTATTTTTCATAACTTTAATGCCGATAAGCTTAAAAAAATTTTAAAGCATCTCTCTCTCTCTCTCTTTTTTTCTCGAATATTATCGATAGAAGATTTCCGTGATTTATCAGAGATCGTAACTGTTCAAATAAAAAAGTGTATTATATAGGAGATCAACTTGTCCATGAGAGATATTATATTATTTATTGCTTCATTATCTTTTTTATTATCTTTATTATAGTGTCTATCTATTGTCGGACATTTAATTCTATTTAATTGTATTTACATATATCTAACATATGCATACACTGTTTCTCTTTTGTGTTATATATTTTAAATAAAATATTTAATTATCTACTTACATTCACCAAAAAATATATTTTTGTAATTTATCTTTGTTATTTTAAGAAGTTTATGTTTTAGTAAGAAAAAGTAATTAATTCGAATTAGCGTATTTTTTTTGTACTTGAGATGATGTATTTAATTTGATTTTTTGCAATTTTTAATTGTAACTATTTTCAGATATACTTACATTATAAATTAATTAAAATTTTTTAAAATAAAAATTTTAGAGAATATAAAGAATTTAAAATGTTAAAGATTAAAAAAATATAATTTTTAAAAAACTAATATTTATTTTAATGTTATTGCAACTTTGATTTCAGCACAAGTTACACAGTTTTAGTTTTTAATGAGACTTAAGAATCTAATATTAGCATGAAAGAGAGTTAGTGTTCTGTGTGTGAAAAGTATTTAATAGTTAAATGCACTTGCTAAATTGTTACATTGAATATTGGAGTATTTTGGCATTATAAACTTCTGTACTTTTCGTTCAAATTAGCATAGTTCAATCTACTATATAACACTAGTATATCCGCTGGAATCCTACTACATTTACATTGTTTAATTCTTTCATTATTGGAATGTGAATGATAAATAATTAAAGTATAAATCTATTAGTAGTATAAAATATACAAAAAAAAACAAGCAAATAAAAAAATGGTTGAATAATTTATATCTCTAAGAATAACAGGTGTAGAAAAAGCCAATTAAATCCGAGACATTC